GGGCTTGGGACCGGCAATGTAAGATAAACTTACACAGGCGGAGTTAATAAAGTAACCACTAATCGTTCTAAAATCTAACTTCTTTTCATGCGGATTATAAATTCTTATTTCTGCTGGGCAACCCCAAACATGCAGGTGCCTTAAACTGGGTTTCCTTCCTGTCCACAGTTCAAATGGTGTTTTGGGAACTGCCTTACTAGGAATCCGGTTTAACAAATATACAGCAGTCCTAAGAGCATACAATCACAATGATATAGGCAAAGATGCATTACTTAACATACTCCTAACCATGTCCATAAGAGTACGATTACGCATTTCAGCAACACCATTTTGCTGTGGCGTACCTGGCATAGTGTATTGGGCACATATGCCATGCTTTTCAAGGAGTTTTGCAAATAAACCAGGACATTGTCCTGATTCATCATATTTTCCATAAAATTCACCACCTCTATCCGACCTGACAATCTTCACCTTTTTATCTAATTGTCTCTCAACTTCAGTAATAAACACCTGAAGGGCATTCACTGCTTCAGATGTTTCTTTCAATAGATAAATATAGCTGTAACGTGAAAAATCGTCTATAAAGGTTATAAAATATTTTTCTCCACCAAAAGATGGAGCATCAAAAGGTCCACATATGTTTGTATGAATTATTTTAAGAAGCTTTGAACTTCTTGTGGCTCCTTTCTTGGTGTATTTGGTTTGTTTGCCCTTAATACAATCCACACACACACCGAGATCAGTAAAATCTAGGTTCGGAAGAATCTCATTCTTTACTAATCTTTCTAACCCTTCTCTGGATATATGACCCAGTCGTTTATGCCACAAGAATGAAGAATTTTCATTGTTTAGGCTACGCTTAGTTCCAACATTATGATGCAAGGTAAAAAATGTTTCAGCAAAACGATTATTGAGCTTTAAATTATACAGCTCACCTATTAGAATACCAGAACCAACAAAAGAGGTCTTCTTATATAAACTGAAACATTCATTACCAATCTTTATAAAAAATCCATTGCGGTCAAGCTTCGAAACTGAAACCAAATTTCTGGAACAACTAGGAACATAAAGTGTCTGAAATAAATCCAAACAATATCCAATATCCAAAATTAAACGAAAGGTTCCAACAGCTTCAACTGGAGCTTTGACTCGATTCCCCATGAAAATTTCATTTTCATTTGGATTTAAAGTGTGGGTCGTAAGCAATGTATTAAAAGCGTAAGGCGTGGGTGAGCCATCTAAGGGATAGCCCAGCCTAGGCGTGAGGCAAAGTCTCACGGGACCTAAATTTTTTAATATATACACTGAACATACACATATATTATATTAAAAAAATATCATTAATCAATAATCACCCTGAGCACACATATATTATAAATACATACACACATATATATACATATTATATATATATATATATATATAAAATAGAGGATGAAAAGCACAATGAGTACACATATAACAATGCACGTAGAAGGCACACACATCCATTGTATAAAAAATAAAAATTAGAAAACAAGGCAGAGAGATGATAGTGCAAGGAAGAGGTATGTATGAGGTAGTTAAAACCCTACCCAAAATCCCTTGAGGCGCGCCTAGGAGGCTCCGACGGCGCCTTCTGCCCACTCTCTCAAAACAGAGGCGGCAACACTCAAGCCCAGCCTCACAGGGTGCCTAGGCGTGCCCTGAGGCGAACCTTTTAAAACATTGGTCATAAGGAATCCCTGCATTGAATTAGAAATATGAGCCGTAGCACCAGAGTTAACCCACCAAGTATTATAAGGAACTTCGGTTAAATATGATTTGAAACTTACATAAGCCAAAGGCTCACCTTTCTTTTCGAACTATTCTTTGAATTTCTGGCAATTCTTTTGATAATGCCCAGGCTTCCTACAGAAGCGACATAAATCATTTTTATGTTCCTTATCATGAGCCGAGTAGCATTAGCAGGTCCATTCACCTTGGGTGGTCCTCTTTTCTTTCCCTTTCTAGGCTTTCTTCCAAATTTTCTTTCATCTCCTTGACTTGCTAAATGAACGGAATGTTCTCCTTGCTGCTTAAGCCTTCCCTCCTCTTGAACGAGTTTAGTGGCCAATTCATCAACATTCTATTTGTCCTTAATAGCATTATAGTTGATTTGAAATGGCCCATACTGAGGAGGCAAGGAGTTCAAAATAAATTGAACAAGAAAGGAGTCATCCACATTCATTCCAAGTGTCTTTAGCTTTGCTGCTATATTAGTCATTTCAAGGACATGCTCATGCATGCTTCGCATACCATCAAATTTCTTGGAGGTAAGCTCAGCCATTAATGTCCCAGCAAGAGACTTGTCAACGGTCTTGAAACGAGTCTCAATATTTTTCCAAGTATTCCTTAGCAGTTTCAGCTTGAGGAAGGCCAGTCTTTATGTGGCTCGCTATAGTCATTCGCATAAACATCATGCTCAATCTATTTGATCTCTCCCAGGCATTATAGAGAGATTTTTCCTCAGTGCTGCTTGTATTCGTAAGAGCAGCAGGTTTGTCAGTTTGGAGTGCTAAATCAAGATCCAGGACACCAAGGTGAAACTGAACTTGCTCACTCCAATCTGAGAAATTTGTTCCATTAAGTGAGGGAATAGATGGATCAAGTGAATGAAGAGAAACAGGCACTGACACTGCAATTCAAAAGTGCTCACAACATTAATGCTTTGAGTAATAAAAAACACATGTAATAACAATAAGTGTACTATCATATTCTCCTTTGGGTAGATACTACAACAATACAAACAATCATCGATGCATAATACCTTATTGATAATTGTACATCTCTAATAAGACAGGCTTCGTTATCTTTGGATATCCGAACAAATAAAAATGAAATATACAATTCTCAACACATTCATATCATCAATCATATGAGCAATTAGTCTACCTTTGGGTGACCCTTAAGAACTTATGACAAATGAAAAACATATTACTCATGTACAAACCTTTAAAACATAATAAGGTTTTGTTCGTTCATACGCATCATCCTACCATGAGTAGTTGATTAATCATCATTTAATTTGAATCCATGTGATCTTTCTAGTTTGGCCACTTTGGTGACTAACAAATAATTTCGTAAGACGAATTACAAATTAAATGAATGACGTTTATAATCGTAATGATCAGTCATAGGTATTCAAATTACTTTAACTAATTCCAACTAAAAGAATCACCCAAATTGCATCATAATTTCCATACCCAAATATGCAATTCGGCAAAAATTGTAATAAAACTAAGATTACAATTTCTTAATCCCAACATGCATAATCGATACATGCAAATAAAATATAATCATGTCTGCCTCAAAACAGCGGACATTGCACCCTAATTAACCACCGATTTTGTTCTTGCAAATTTAAAAATTATGCTGACAGTAAGCAGCAGCATCATAATTAAAATATTCTTGCCGAGTGCAATTTACAATATATAAAGAACATTCACAATTCAAAACAGCGATTAGGTTATTTCAAAATAGCACAGTGGATCATAATTTATTTCGAAACAAAACTCTAATCAAGTCGATTCAGTTAAAGTTCATAATCGTAAATGGAAAATCATGAGAGCTCTCAACCAGGCTCTGATACCATATGTAAATCTTAAAACAATTAAGCCAAGATCATCGAATTTCATGATTTTCACATACAAATAAAATGCGGAAATACATTAAACAACCAAGCGTACCTTGATCCATCACAATGAACGCTATGAGATCCCAAACGGATTCTGTCAGCGGCGGAGGAAATAGGTGTTCTCTCTCTTGCCTCTTTTTGCACGTGAAAACCCTAATCGTGTTTTTTCTATCAAGTGCATATTAGATGGGTATATGCAATATATATAAGTGAGGCAGAGAGAGGACCCGTTTTCATTTAAAGCCCATAATCAATTACCACCCATCACAGTAATTTGATAGGAAACATTTCTCATAATTTGACCAATAGAATTATTTACAAATAATAATATCCGTTAAACCCTACATATCATATGGACTGTGTCATATGGACCACTTAAGAATATTAAAATATTCTTACAGTTGATTGGTAAGTATCAGTCAGCTTACTAATTGCCTTTCACTTTACTATCATATAAAAGAGTAAACTAGCGTTTGAATTCTTTTTCATTGCACTCGATTTGCATATATGTACGCCTAACATTTAATCACGAACTTGAGTAAAATTAAACGTAATATAAACCGGAAAGCAAAATGATAATTTGCAGTAAAAAATACCTTTACATGTTAAGGTTGTTTGGCTGCAATGTTCTGTGCCACCCAGAACGAAAAGTGATCTCCCAAAAGATCTTTCTGGAGAAGCTTCATCAAAGGAATCGTTATATGCAGATTGGAGTTGCAAAGCACTGAAACTACTATATCATGTTTCACCATTGTATGAGAAAAAGAAGATGCTTTAAACGAATTGAATATAATATAAGTGAGACGTCAAATATAACTTGCATGGATCTCATTGAAGCTCTTCCATCCGAATGACATAATATAGCAATCCTCTACTTTTCGAATCGCATTTGCTCTATCCACCCCTTGTAGCAATCCTCTACTTAGGACAAGATTAAGCATCTGAGATAGGGACAATTGGAGGAACATAAGTATGGGATATCACGAAAACTATATGATGGTTTTTAAGACAGGAAAATCCAGCAAGATAATGTAAGATGAATTCTGTGTGTACTTTTCTAACATATTGCCGGACAGAGGCTTATAATATTAATTATCTAGACTGGTGTTAGCTTACTTCGCAGCAGCTGTGAACCTGGAGCTGACCAGGCAGTGCACACAATTGAGAAATATCGAAACCAATGGCATGAATACAGTTAAAAGAAGAGCTTGGTAGCTGGATATCTTCCTTTATGTTGGATCTGTTTACGTAATTCATACATTTATGCATAAAGTTATATGCGAGATAGGAGAGTAGGAGAGGTACTGATCAATTTCCAAGCATTAGCTTGGATTTATTTTTTCAGATCATTCAGGCTAATCCTTCAAGGGCTGACACATTTGGCAATGACGGGGTGCCTGCATTTAAAACTAGCGAGTGCGAAGGCCAGGATGAAGAGCTTGGTAGGCATCTTGGTTCTAATTATCTATTGGTTTCCTTTTCTCCGTCTTTTTGCTAGTTAAAAGGTTGCTATCTTTTTATCTTCAGATGATATTGTCGTGGGTAAAGAAGACTTGGCTGTAGGACTTCCCAGAACTTCAGTTTTGCAGCTTGATGAACCAAAAGAAAAAGGGTTAACCAACACGGCCAGTGCTAATAAAAACAAACTTTCAGAAACTGACTCAATGATCGGAGGTGAACAAATAGAGAAAGGACAACCAGAGCTCAACAATGAAAAACCAAATCGGGAATTGAGAAACCAGGCTGCTGATCTAATGGGTTGCATCGGCAACGGTACCACCGATCCTCAGATGCAATGTGTTATGTTTGACAGCCCAAATGGTGTATCCAAGGTTCCAGAGATAAAAGCTAAGACCATCCATGACAGTAAAGAAACTCCTTCTCTTGAGCTCACTTTAATGACGCAGAGAGATGTTCGAAATACTGGGTTCAGTGGTCATGATCGAAATGTTCTGAGACATTCAGACAATTCAGCCTTTTTAAGGTATGCAGATACTCAGAAATTGAATCACACTCATCTCTAACGATGTTTAAGTCAACTTTTTCTACTCTGAAAATATTTTTTTGTACTGCGCAGGTACAACTTTCCTACAAATTCTAAGCAGGCCCCATCTGGGAATGTTGGTAGCTATTCTTCTCTCGATAATAGCTTAGGGGCAGCGAAAGCAAAATCATTTCAAAATTTTCAATATAATTCGTATGGCACTCCTCTCTACCAGCGTTCCAATGGCTCTAGCAATAACAATGACACTGACTCAGCCACAAATAAGTTCTTTATCAATGAAGAGGCATCCGAAGACAAGGCAGAGCCGGGATCAACAATGAAATGTCTCCACGAATCCTCTGTCTTCCAACCAGACCATAACAGGTCTATGGCGTATAACCAGCCAATAGAACATGGTCATGCCGATGCTGCAGTCCATAACACAACTTTGTCACAAGGATGGAACATGAATCAGCATGTGCAAGTGCAGCAGCAGCACCATATGTATAACGTGCGTCAGCACCAGCAGATACTAAATAATGATGATTTGTCACTGAAAAATCTGGCAGCAGCAGCTCCACTGTGCGGGTCATCCGATGTGCAGTGTGTACCAATGGAAGGGAATGTTGGCAGTAACAGTTTGCACGGGTGTGCCTTAGAAAGAAACAACAGTAGCAACGGGCAGAGTGGGGGTAGCTTTGCCATAAATTCTAGGGGCACTTACACGGAATCTGGTAAGGACATAGCTGGAGAAGAAGGAACCATCAGTGCAACTGAAAATGGGAGCAAAAGTGGAGTTGATCAAAACCGTCGTGCACAAAGAGAGGCTGCTTTGCATAAATTCCGCCAGAAGAGGAAAGATAGATGTTTCGAGAAGAAGGTAACTCTAGTTGTGTTTTGAGTTTTCAGTTTTGTCATATGTAATTCTTACCTGTATGGTTAATTCAGTTGAGTATTTAGCAGAAAATCTTCACCCTTTTCAGGTGAGATACCAGAGCAGGAAAAAACTGGCGGAACAAAGGCCGCGTGTTCGTGGACAGTTTGTTCGACAGGTGGTAAAAGAAAACAAAGGCAACGACACAGATAGCTAAGCTGACTAGTGGTTTTGTACATGAGAACAGCACTATAGCTATGCATACCGGATGGAGCATCTGTTTCTTTGATGCAGGATATGGGCATACAACATTCGGTATTCAAAAGTATATAGAACTGATATATTTAAAGACTAGATTTACTGCGCGGGGACAACAAAACACGCATGGATTTATGTTTATTGATTTTGACTCGAACAATTTCTTTTGCGATTATTACTGAATGGATTTATATATGGTCATCGAATCAAACGATGAAAACCTCATACATTCAAACAGAACAGAGATTGCACTTTGCACTCGTAATTCATATGGTCCAGCGGCAAGCCTAGAGAGCCGCTCTACAATATGAATTATGAAAAAGCAAATTGGGTGCCCTAACATCATCAGGTCAGCCTCACCCAACAGGATCTTCTCCGGATCCTTTTGGTGAGGATATTGAAGATCTGTAATCGTGACTGTCAATCGTATATCATACGGTCAGTTTTTGTCAAGTACTGTTTGTGATTAATTATAAATAAAAATATTTAAAATAATTTTTTACTGCACAATATACAATAAACGGACAAGATTGACGGATCCTCTAATCCTCACAAAAGGATCCGGATTCCAGCCTCACTATTTTTTAGAGAAAGACGATATTCGATATTCATTTCAAACAACACATAACAAGTACAATTTGAGAACAAACTGAGGATGGTGTGCACAGTGGGCCTCAATAAAACCTTGCTAGAGCTTTCAACTCGGTCGAAGGAAAAAGAGTGTCCCGCAAGATGAAATGACCTATTCTCAAATGTCAATACATAAACAAATTACAAAATATCCCTAAGCAAATCAGGGGATCTTCCGCCCACAAACTTGTTAGCATTCAACCATTGTTGTGCAGTGAGCGTCAACCGTGTGGCAAAGCATGCGACCATGACTTCCACACGCTGCGAAACCAGCCTGAACCATCAGCTGAAAATGTCTCCAACAAAGTGGATTAGTTGGACCAAACAGCCACTTACCTATGCCCGTAGAACTATGAACACAAGATCAAGGTAACTCGACGCAAATCGCCGTATATATACGAACATTGTGCAGACTCTCTCCTAGTGAAACCTAAGAAGACCTAGGAACCCTAGAGAGCAATTTTCCTGAAAGACCAGGACTAAACTAAGGGCTGGTTTGGTATTGCTGTGCTTTGAAAAAAAAAACTGCTGTGAGAATAAGCAGCTGTGCTGTGAGAATAAGCGGCTGTGAAATAAATCAGTAGAGTGTTTGGTAAACTTTTTTGTAAAAGTGCTTTTGGGAAAAAAAAAGCAGTCTGATAGTAGGTCTTTTCATTAAAGGAGCATTGTAGCTCCATGTGCTTTGAAAAAAAACCAGTTTTCCAAAGCTACAAATAGCTGCTTCAGCTTTTTCCTTTTATTTCAGCTTATTCTCATAGCAGCTTCCAATATAAGCCCTTTTTTTTAGTTTACCAAACACCTAAAACCCTTACAGCTTTTTTTCATGGGTGTTTTTTTTTAAGCACCTCACTCCCAAACCACCCCTAAGAAAACTAAAATAAACTAAATTAAATAAAACTCGCCCGAAGCGAACAAAAGGAAAGAACCAAGAAGGGAACCACAATCCGACACCTCCTGCCAGTGGGAATGCGGCTTCCACACACCGAAGACCACAAGAGCAGCTGCCAGGAGCACAGTTAGTGCATCCACCGAAGCCATCGGGGAAGGTGACACCACCATGGAACCGAGTTGGCGAACGGGATCCAACCCACCTGCAGCACAGAGCTAAAACCCATACCAAGAATACAAGCGCCAAATCAAAGAAAATCTTGAAAGGGCATGGCCCTGTAGAGAAAGACAATATTCCAAACTCCAGAGTATTGGTTCTCAGTTAGTGCAAACTCCACACTAGCCCAAGACTTAAACCAACAGTAAAGAGAAAGAATGGAACTCAACGAAGATGAATCAACTTTCACTAACAAGGAAATAAGCTTACAAGTTACAACACTCTCACCAAGAGCAGGAACAATACAATCTAAAGGAAAGATGAAAAACTAACTCAAAAGGATAAGCAGCAGCTAGTTATCAATGCAATTGAACACTATTGTCTAGAAGGAACACCAAAACATAAAGGAGTGCCACTGCACCATGAAAACATGCGGATTCCCAAGACAGCCACAATTAAGGAATTAATATAAGTTGTTGGGTATGTGAGAAGTCATTCTAGGAAAACCACTTTAATTTTAACAGGCCCGGGTCAAGATATGGGGCATAGATCCATGAAGGACTGCACCTAAAATGGTGGGAGAGAAGTAAGGGGACGGGAGGGGAGGTTGGTAGAGGCCGGGAAGGAGGGATCGGGCTACAAACCTTATGTATCCTAAAATGTGCCACCTCTACAACTTCAATACTGTTATATTTGATTAAAATAGTTTAAAAAATAATAATAATACCTTACTCCAGTCTCACAACCACCCTACTCCCACTCCGGCCACCCTCTCTATCAGCAGACTCAGCACCCGCACAGTACGCACACATCCCTGGCGCCGTCGGTGTTGGGCTACTCTTCTATCTTATTGACGGAGGGGAAGGTGGTGGCGAAATGACCGGTCAAATCATCAATAACGTTAACCACTGATCACACAGAAGACAAGATTAATTGCATGTACAAAGTTAATTAGAATCTATTTTAATGCAAAAATAAATCACAAATGAAAGAGAAAGGGGAGAGAGGTAACGAACACTTGAATTTGAGGGAGAGAAATGGTTCGGCGGACTAACTTCCATTCCGTCAAGCAATTGAAAGACTGACTCATTAAAACTGTGTCAGCTGCGTTTACCCTCGTAAATTATCGTTGGGCAGAAGAAAAAATGAGGTGATTGGTTTAGTTGGTAATGATCATTCTCTTCACTATATCAGGTCTAAGTTTAACTTCCTGACGACAATCTCTCTTACGGTACCATCTGTAAAAAAATTTAAAAAAATAATAACAAAATAATACCCGCTTTATAAGAGAGATATGTTGTATGTCTTGACCGTTAAATAGCGTAGCCTCCCCTCACGTAACCCTTGGATCATTTCACCTTTATGATTCACTCACAAAAATACCATGGACGACTTGCCTTGCATATTGTAGTCTCGTTCACTCGTCCGGTGGTTCCCATACCCTATCAAATCTTGGTTGTGGCCCATCCGGACCAAAGAATCTGATATGAAGCACAAAATATGGCTCGTTGGCCACCTACGGCCTAACTTCTATATGACTTGGTGAACAAGTATTGTGTCTGCAGCTGCATTGTTATCGTCTTTCCAAATTTCAAGACTTCATATTTAGTTAAACAAGCCGAAACAAACTATTTACTACAGTCTAGTGGTATTTCTTTTTATTTGTAAGTTAAAGGTCTTAGGTTCGATTCTCGCCAAATGCGAATTTGAACCACATTATTGCTAGTCCTTTGTGAGGGCTAAGCCCACACTCTTCCCTTAGTATAAATATATTGTTTATTAAAAAAAACAAAAACTTAACTAAATGGATAGCCCTACCATTTAGTACTATGATTTAGTGATATTCCTCTCCACTTGTAAATGAGATGTCTTACATTCAATTATCGCCAAAGGTGAATTTGGACCACATTATCCCCCTCTAATGGAAGTTATTCTTTGTAAATGTGAACCTCAAAAATTGAGTACTCTTAACCTCTTGAATTATCCGATCACTATTACAAGTCACATTATATTAGAGACTAATCAGTAATTACAATTCTTTTTATGTTGCAACTTATATATATTCAACATTGTTAACTTTTTTACCATAAAATCATGGTGCAAAATTAGTATCCAGTCCCTAGTTTCTAATGTTTATTGACTAAGACCTTATCAGTTTTTAGATTTTGATCAAAGTCCCTAACATTAATATATTAATGAATTATATGTAAGTTACATAGTTTTTATAAAAAAAAATTAGTAATTGATTTAGAGTTTTTATACTCACACCCTTAATCACTCCTAATTAATTTTCAATTCAAACATTTCCCAAATATAAAAAATAAAATTAGAATAAGTTTGTACCCATAAATTTTTTATAAATTTATTTTTATTTTTTAATCTTATATGTATCCATTCTTAAATATACCAATTTGTTAAAAATGTACCTTTTTAATATAAAATGTACCCATTTTCTATATAAATTTCATTCAATATTTTCTCTAATCCATTTTTTAAAAGGAAAACTAATGAAAATGGCTTGAAAACTTTGAATTTTAATCAAAATGACAAAAAGGTATTGTAAGTGAATAGTATCAGGAGTGACTTTTTAGAGTAAAAATGTCATTTTCGTTAAAAGTGAACAGTACCAGGGGCGTTTCATTAAAATTCCATTTTTTAAACTTATATGGGTACATTTTATTTCATTGATTCAAGAATGTATCTATGTCAAGTTTAATAGAAGAAATTTAATAATGTTATTAAGCCTAATATCTTTTTCTTTTTTTTTGTGTTTTTGAAAAATGTACCCATGTTTTGATACAATAATTTTTTGGTTAGTTTTGATGAACGTACCCTTGTGCGTGTGTATGTACAAAATATATTGGAACGTATAATTCATCTTTAATCTTTTTAATCTCATAATTATGGGTTTTATTTAAAATCTCATTAATATAAATAATTACAAATTTCATTTTTAATTTAAAAATATAAAAACCTACTGTTGACCCTAGAAACTACCAAGCCTACGTGGTGCACAGGCCGAGTAATCTATAAGCTAACTACGTCCTTCGGTGAATGCGGGCGTGCCAACTCGTCGGCCGAGGAGTAAATTTGTTGATGTTGCGTTGGGTGCGCGTCTGACTCCTGCGTCTTGCGATTGCGACTGAGGAAGGAACGCATCTCGGCCTCTTGGGTTCTCGAACCTGAAGACAAGGTTACTATTCTTACGAAGTTCACGAGTCGTCGTCGTCGGATTCAGTCACAGTGATGTTATTCGTCAGAGTAAACTCACGCCGAATCGACACCAAAGTGTAAGGGCACAAATACTCAAAGCGAATATAAGTTTTAATGGTGAACGTGGTTCGGCCGTCCGAATGCCGAACTCTAAATCCCACTTGGGAATATCCAATCATAAAATAACTCGGCGTGCAATGCGCCGAGCTCGATATATTGTAACACCTCACTTCGCCGAGGAGGCTAATGAGATGACCTCAATCAATCAGGATCCGAAAATCCTTCTCAACCGAGACTTGGATAGGTAACCAACCGTCCTCGCCGCAATGTTGTTGATGCCA